AAGCAGTAATGACTTTCATTAATAAACAAATGTTTTATATTGGTACTCATTTGTGAGGTTTTACCAAACTTTATATTTAATAAAGTCGAGTTCATTTCAAACAAAGGCATGAAAACTAATTTAGGTCAATTTTTTAAAGTTTACTTTAAACAGTTACACGACAAACGAACATGTATACAAACTCAGCTGTGTGACTTTTCTCATCTCTACAAATGTTTAATTAAACAAAAAAGATTGACAAGAATGTGTCTGATATATTGTTAGAGAAAGATAATTTTGAAACACTATTTTCACACAAGCTTACAATGGATCTAACAATGTTCATATTCACGATCTGTGGTGGTTTAATATTTGCTATGAGTGCGTGTGAAAAACAGAGAAAAATCCTGTCTAAGTAAAGATTTTTGTAAATGCTGGTTGTTGAAAGGTTAAAATATGATCAATAGTACTCACCAGTGTTTGCAAGAGCCTTTTGGTCGTTAAAGCAGATGTTACGATCTCAGATTAATGTTTCTTTCTTTCTTATTGCTCTGCTTTTGCTCTCAAATACTTTCAGTTTCTTTTACTGGAAAGGATGTTGCAACAGGTATAAGTACATTCCAGTCAGGTCAGCTGGAACAGGTGGACTGGTTTTACCCTGTGGAGGAAACTTCTGTGTAGCAATGCATGGAGTCACCGACTCAGGAAGGAGACACGGTGAGAGTTGGAGCTTTGATGTCAAACACTGATGGGTTTATTCAGAGTATTCGGCCGGAGGATTCACATCACAAGTCAAAGAGTCAGAGGTTCTGACTACACGGTAGAGTTGCCACGTCAATTCTGAAGAGCCTCTCTCTATGCTAGACCTTTTAACTGGTTCACAGAGAGAAATCAACATCTCTGAAGGAGTAGACTAAACAGCTGGGAACATTGAGCCACCTGCGTCCGACACTCATGGCCTCAAGGATTTCACATCCTAGAGCCCACAAACACCGATAAAGAAGTGCCTCAGCGTTCTCACAACAATTACCCTTCGTGCCAGACAAGTTGACCGGTCACAAACTGGTGACAACAACACATATGGCACCAAGGCCTTTCCTTAAAGGAGATAACAGACGTCAGAGTAGATCATAACACGTCACAGAGCAAAAGGTTAGATATCTAGAAGAATTATTCCTTAACATACCCCACTGAATCAATCAGAGAAATGTAAGGCAAGGCAAGGCAAGTTTATTTATATAGCACTTTTCAACACAAGGTAATTCAAAGTGCTTTACAAAAATGAAAGACATTAAGAGCATAGCACACATTAGAATAATAACTACGTAGAGCATAAACGTCTGCTCTACTCAGGGCAATTTAATTTGCAGTCATTTTACTTCAATAAAAGGATCAGAATACTACCCCCACCATGTTCAGTGGAGATGGCCTTGTATAAAGAAATAATAATTAGACAGTATGAAGATGTCAGGTAACCTGTTTGGCTGATGGTAGGTTGTTGTGTTGACTTTCAATTGTGTTGTTGGTTTCAGGTTACTGTAAGTATCAAGCAGCTGTGATTGACAGACCATCTGTTTTTAGTGAGGGGCAGGTAAAGTTAGACTATCTTCTCCCTGCTCCTTTCCATCACGGGCTACACAAAGAAATGCTTAACCCTCCTGTTGTGTTGGGGTTTTTCATCAATCATAACTTTTTGGTTTTACATTCGATTGCATTAAGGCTTTATGATATTCTTCACAGTAGACATTTGAACATATAAAATAGCTGATCACCACTTTCATTTAATTTTGGATGATTTAGTCAACTTTGTAACACCCATGGTGTTCCCGGTCAACTGGATATAGAAATATATCGCCATAAAGAAAAGGAATTAGTAACCATCCGGATCAGATAAAACACGCACGCACGCACGCACACGCGCGCGTGCGCGCGCACGCACACACACACACACACACACACACACACACACACACACACACACACACACACACACACACACACACACACACACAAACAGTACAATTTGATACATTTCCTGCTCTTATGTGCCCATCCCCCCACATGGATCACACCTGGCACACGCAATACACGTTCAGTGTCTATTCTTTGTATATTTACTGCAGTTTTTCATGTATACCAGTAGTATGATACAATGTTTACAGTTTGAAAGGGTGTTAAATGAAATTTGGTGATGATGAATGGTTTTTGTGTTATTGTAATAGCAGTTAAAACAGGATCGGTCAAATTTGAGCGCGAAACCCAAAGTAAGAGGGGGGGAAACTAACACAACAGGAGGGTTAAATATTTGTTTTATCATAACTGCTATGAGTGGAATATAAAGAATCAGAATCAAGTTTATTGCCAGGTACGTTTACACATACAAGGAATTTGCTTTGGTATCTGGTGGTGCGAAGATAAACAATCTAAAAAAATAAGTTGCAAAGTAGGTAAAAGAAAAAATATATATAAGGATAATAAAAAATAAGTATTTTTAAGAAACAATTTAGAATAAAAAAACGATGCTAAAGACAAGTATTTACACCAAATTTAACTAAACAAATAACCTTAAAAGCTAAAAAACAAAAACACTTTGGACAATTATTATATATAAACTGCAGTGTTTTATATTTTAAAGTGGAGAGCTGTGCAGACGTGTGCAAAAATATGCAAAAAGCTGTCAGATAGTTGAGCATGAACATGGCTCACAGTATTAAAGGTCACCTATTATGCAAAATCCACTTCTTCATGTCTCTTCTACATCAACCTGTGTCCCCTCTGTGTAAAGAGACTCTGAAAGTTTCAGGAACAAAGATTCTCTCTCTTTTTGTCCTGATCCATTTATATAAAAACCTGTCTGAAAATGAGCTGATCAGATTTTGGCCACTTTATGATGTCATAACGATGTTTTGGCTTGTGTAACTATTAGCCAATCACCAACCAAGGTAACCCCCCCCCCCACCTTATCACCGAATCTCCTCCTATGCCCCTTTCACACCAACGCAACTCCGGTTCAAGCTCCGTGCTAGAGCTTTTCTGGTTCAGAACCGGTTCTTCGGTTTAGCGCCGGCTCTTTTCACACCGCTCAGAGCCCGACTGGTGCTGCCGCTGCTGCGTCATGACGTCACAGTTTACGTCGCTGAGTTTCTCCCCAACGCCGGAGCTCACCTCACAATAACAACGGGTCGGGGACTGCGTTGCTTTTAATCATACGAAGCCAGATTAAATTAAATAACGACTTCTCCAACCTTATACTTTTCTCCAGAGTGCCGTGGTTCATTGTTTATTAATGCGTTTCAGCGGCATTTACCGACCGCTGCAGTGCTGGCCGGCTGCTCTTCCACGAGTGTATTCTCCCGTTAGCTCCGGGTTAGCTCACACGGCTCTAAAGTATTCACTGTCTGACTGTCACACAAGCAGCTGATACATATCCCCAGTTCCCCTTAAGTGAATGTGTGTCAGTCTGAATTGACGCTGTTTGGTGTCAGTCTGAATTGACGCTGTTTGGCATCACAACGCTGTTATGAAAGTTTCTCTGGTATAACATGGGTGATGTTAGCATAGCAACCGAAGCTAAACTGACTACTTGCTAAGCAGTTTTCTACAGGCACTTTTTACCGACGTATTTTTCATTATGATTCTACTTGTGATAGTCGGACATGACAACCTGTGCAGCCCATGTATTGATTCCATCCGATAGCTGCTATAATAACAAACAAAACGTCTGCCTGCTCTCCACAATGATCAATAACAGCGAACGGATGGTCAAAGTAAGGTACAAATAAACAGAATCACACGAAGCCTGGTTAGTGTTGCCTGACTTTATAAAGTGTGTTTTTTTTAACAAGTGTGTGGTTGCGTTCTAGTCACTTTGCTCAGCACTACTGCTTGTTACAACTTTTATTTGCCGTACTCGCCTTAAGTGTTAGCTCAGGTTAATCTCGCCCCCCTCCGACGTAAGCGTGACGTATGCGGTTCTTGCTTCTAGACGGACAACTTTTTGGTGCTCGAAACGAACCGGATTCCGGAGCTATGACGCTGCTCCGCTGCGGTGTGAACAGGAAAACCCGGTGCTTTTCAAGCACCAGCACCGAACCGGCCCTGAAACACCGTTGGTGTGAAAGGGGTACTAGAGCACCATTGTGTTCTTTTTAACCAAATCTCTCTCAGAGGGGCGTGGGGAGTGCTCCTTATTTTCATCTAAAGTAACAGACAGAGAATCAGCACTTTGGAAACAGGGCTGAAACAGAGGGGATTATGGGATGCTGCAATGATCTGTTTGGTGTTTGGAGCCAAACACTTCAGAGACATGTTTGTATATATCTGAGACCTATAATAAATTGATGAAAAGCAGTATAATAGGGGACCTTTAAGAAAGACAAAAAACAACAAGATGTTGTTCACATGCATTAATGTAATGCATAATGTTTTTGGGGAGGATAAGAAGTCAGTGTCAGTGGGGGTCCCGGGCCTTGTTGATGAGGCCATTAGCGGAGGGGAAGAAACTGTTCAGGTGGTGAGAGGTTTTGGTCCTGATGGAGCGCAGCCTCCACTTCTAATCTACTCAGGGCAGGTATTCAAGGTTCAAGGCTTTTATTGTCATTTGTACATAGCTACAGTGTAGATATGACAATGACATTCTTAGGTCACAGGCTCCTCCAACAGTGCAACACAATACAACAGATAATAGTGCAAGTAAATAACATAGAATAGAATATAGTAGAAATAGTGCAGAATAGTCTATATACAAGTGATTGAAATATTGATATACTGTATGAGTTGCAAACAGATGAATGTTTATGGATGTTCTTTCAAAAGTTCAGGTGTTAACAGTCGTATGGCCTGTGGGAGGAAACTGTCCCTGAGTCTGGTATTTTAGCTATAGTGGAGTGTTTTTACAGTATAGTATAAGTATTTGTACCTTCAATAAAAGCTCCAGAATACTACTCAGTCCCACCACTGTATGAGTATGTATGGAGATGGGGCTTTTATTGTGAAAGAACCCCACCTGAAGTGTTAGGTGTGTTGCTTCCGGCGGTTGGTTAGCTTGACGTTGGCAGGAGGCTGCTGCTGAATTCAGGGAACAAACATGGACAGTCAAGGGAGAAAAATCGTTGTTTGTGACAATGGAACCGGGGTAAGTTTGAGAACAGGCGGTGGATTTAAATCTCCCTCCGTGTCGCTCTTTGTGCTCCTGCAATTTGATGAGCAAACGGAGAGAAAACTGGAAACAGGAAGTGATTATCGAGCTAACAGGCTAACGCGTTAGCATGTCTGGGTGGGTTGTGAGAGGAATGTGTCTGTCAGCTGGATCCATTCATCTACACCAGGGCTACAGATGACACATTTTGGTTATATTTATCAGTAGCACACCATTAAATACCCAATATTCTATACAAATCTTGTTCAATCTGGTAGCTAACGGTTAGTTTAGCCGTTTAGCTAGCTTTGGTTTGTAACTTTGGTCACGTTATGCACTGTCAGTTAACCTTAAAAAAACCCTAAAACAATCCCCTGTTCAATCTAACACTCCATTTTGACACCTTAGTAGTTTACATTTCAAAGTCATGAAGTCAATTAATACCATTTCCGTACATGCTCAGTACACGTTAGCCACGGTGGCTAGCTGAGTGCCTTTTAGCTTTGTTTATTTAATATTACGAAGCAAAACCACCAGGAGCCATCTTAAAGGACGAGTTAGAAATACAATAATTAATAATCTTTACTACAGAATCCCCATTTTTCTGTTTTCTGTTTTAGTTAGCTAGGTTAGCTCAGTAGCCTCTTCAGTCGGCCCCGCCCTCGTTAGAAAGTGCAGACACTCAGTTTGAATGATCAGTGTCACTAAGTACAGTCACCTACAGCTTCTTAAATCGGAAGATTTGCTAATCATTTTGGGTTTTTTAAGCTACCTACGAGTACTTTAACTCCTAATACTTTAACTTACTTTTCCTAATCGTTACTTTAATACTTCTCGATGCAGTTCTTTTACTTGATATTAAGTATTTATACAGTGTGGTAGAAGTACTTTTTTATTCAAGTAAAGAATCTGAATACTTTTTCCACCACTGTTAAGCATGTCTTTAAATGGCCGATTTTGTTTGTAGTAGCCTTTATAAATGCTAAACTATTCAGGAAAAGTGACTTTTATTCAAGTCAAAGCAGTTCTGTTATATCCAAGTAAAAACGTTTTTAATACATATTTTGTATCTCTTACATACAGTGCTATTTAGGAATTGAGTTGAGTTTCAATCTCAGTTCATTATCATATTCTTATGTACATTGTGGTTCACAGGTACCAAGTCGCCTCAGTGTGTATTTATATCCCTTTTGAACCTACAAGATGTTGCTCTAGTGAAGGATTTTGCTTATTTAACATCTATTATACTTCAAATATTGTATTTGTAACAATTGTTTTTCCTTCTTTTCTTCTTTCATTCCCTTCCTAGTTTGTCAAGTGCGGCTTTGCAGGCTCCAACTTCCCCGAACACATTTTCCCAGCGCTGGTTGGCCGGCCAATCATCCGCTCCACAGCTAAAGTTGGCAACATTGAAATAAAGGTAACATGGAAATCCTTGTAACTGCAATATTTTCATTAGATGTATTAGGAGGGATGGTGAAAAGTGGAAACAAGTTGGGTCTTAATTAACACAAGTGATCATGTATGAAAGCGCAATAATTATTGTCCATAATATACAAAGATTTTGCAGCTTTGGACCTTAACCAAACACTGCCGAGGCTCACTTCATTAACTTACTATCTTAAGTAAAGGTCACCTATTATTCTAAATGCACTTTTTGATTTCTTTTATACATAAAAATGTGTGTCAGAAAATACAAACCTCTATCTTTTTCTCAATTTTGTAACAGGGCTGTATAGAATAGAGGGGTATTAGGCTAGAATGGGTTTTTTATATATCTGACACCTATATGCCTAAAAATAGTATAATAGGAGACCTTTAAGTAAGACACAAGGAAAATGATTTTGATAATTCAGCTGATGAATTGTAAACTTTGTGGCTGTGGGATACTTTAAAAGATCATTAGCCTAAGGAAACAGCAGGTAAATACCTAACTGATCTATTGAACTTTGACCCCTCACAGGACCTGATGGTGGGCGATGAAGCCAGCGAGCTGCGCTCCATGTTGGAGGTGAACTATCCCATGGATAACGGCATCGTCAGGAACTGGGACGACATGAAGCATCTGTGGGACTACACCTTCGGCCCCGAGAAACTCAACATAAACTCCCGCGACTGCAAGATCCTTCTGACCGAGCCGCCCATGAACCCCACCAAGAACAGAGAAAAGATTATAGAGGTGGGCTGTGGTACAATCACATGTAAAGTCTCACATCATGTTTTCATTTTGGCCTGAGAGACTGGATCAGGATGATGGGCCCTAAGGTCATCCTAATTGATTTGTATTGAAAATGTGGCAGAAACACAATTTTTTTTAATGCTTTTATAGTTACCTTATTTCTGTTTTTTTCCTGCCAGGTGATGTTTGAAACGTACCAGTTTGAAGGAGTTTACATCGCCATCCAGGCTGTCCTCACTCTCTACGCTCAAGGTTAGTTTGTCTCCTTAGCACTCATGTTCACAGCTAAACTAAAAAAGCTATTATTCTCTGAGCAAAATCCAAGCAAGAAATACTTTTACTAACAAAAGCCTCTAGCTAAATTCTAAAACTCATGGAGCTACATAGTTCGACTACCAGTGGAGCTGTAGAGCAATGCAGATTAACAGGTATTGGTAGCACATGCACACCTTGAATACTAAGTAATACACATCCTTGCACTCTTCTGTTTCAGGGCTGCTGACTGGAGTGGTGGTGGACTCTGGTGACGGTGTGACTCACATCTGTCCGGTGTACGAGGGCTTCTCGCTGCCTCACCTGACCCGACGTCTGGACATCGCAGGAAGGGACATAACACGCTACCTCATCAAGGTACCAGCAGCAACACACAGTGATGGACTGTCTTTATATTAGCCTCAATGGATCATTATAAAGTGACCATTTATTCTGACCAGCCCAGCGAACACCTGTGTAATAATCATGCTGTCTAATTAGCATCTTGTCACAACTGTCAGGTGGATGGACACAAGTAGGATGCTCCCTAATGCAGATTTTTAACACATTTGTGCAGAAAATCTAAGCAAATCAAGACCTAAGTGTGCATTAAAAAATGTCCTTTTATCCAATCAGCATTCAGTGTTTAGGAAAACCCTCGAGGAAAAAAAACGAATTCAATATTAAAATAATTAATATCTTTTCACTACCTGTCATGTCACATATTTAGGTCTTTTCCATCTTGTTGTACATGTATTGCATTCACTTAACCTATTTGTTGAAGCGCTAGTTGTTCTACACAGTGGCTTATTCTTTGTAAAATGTTAAATGAATGTATTTTGATGCTTTGATAACCATGAAATCCGTCTTCCAGCTGCTGCTGCTGCGAGGTTACGCCTTCAACCACTCTGCAGACTTTGAGACGGTGAGGATGATGAAGGAGAAGCTGTGCTACGTGGGTTATAACATCGAGCAGGAGCAGAAGCTGGCGCTGGAGACCACCGTGCTGGTGGAGTCGTACACGGTCAGTTAACGTCATGATTAGAAACTGAATCTCTACCTGATTGTTGTGCTTTTATTTAGGTCTTAATGTGTGCACATGTAAAAATGTGTCTTTGATTGTGTATATATAGCCTAGGTATATACATATTTGCACACATATTTTTATATATGTTTGTTTTTATATTCGGGATTGTGGGAAACGGTACTTCGATCTCTCTGGAACTGGAAGATTGACAATAAAGTTGACTTTGACCTCGCTGCACTACTTTAAAAATACCTGAAAAATAATTAGACCACTCTATGATGCCTGGTTTTCACATTCACACCAGTGTTATTTAATTAAAATGTTTAGTATAGTGTTCTTAAAGTTTGCCATTTTTATTGCATTCAAGCAATTGTTTGTGTACTGATCTTGTGTTTTATATACAATTGTGATTTTTAATATTATTTAGGTAGAGGCTTTAAATAAGTCCAATGGGTTTTTTGCCTTCTCTGTTTTGTTTGTGTATTTTTAAATTGTGCAAATCCATAAAAAACAATAATACAAAAAAATAAAAATAATAATGAAATGAAACATGAGAATTATTATACTATACAAACTTAAGCAGTGTCAAATTGATAAACAAAAGTATTACTAATTTACAAATTATATATAAACAAATAATCTACTTAATTACACATCCGAAAAGGGGTGGGAAGAAGTTTACACTTATTTAATCCCACCCCTTCTCCCAAAAACTCAATTATTAACATATATATATTTGTTTTCTTTTTGTTCCTTCACTGATAATGAGGACAGTACCTAAATGTTTTTAGACGTTATCACATTTCTGACGGCTGGTATTTTGTTGTGTCCTCAGCTCCCGGACGGCAGGTTGATCAAAGTGGGAGGGGAGAGGTTCGAAGCCCCCGAGGCTCTGTTTCAGCCTCACCTCATCAACGTGGAGGGGGTGGGGGTGGCCGAGCTGCTCTTCAACACCATCCAGGCCGCAGACATCGACACCAGGTGAGCTGCCAGCGACTGCTCGTCTTTATAGTTGATGGACAAGTAAAAATCCCTCTTTGAGTCACACATGTTCTGTCTGTTTTAATGCTTTAAAGGTCACCTATCATGCTATTTTTAGGCAATAGCATAGGTCTGAGACATATAAAAATATATAAAAAACATGTCTATGAAGTGTTTTGCTCAAAATACCAAACAGATCACCCATTCTAGCCATGCCTCATATCCCTCTATTTCACTTCCTGTTTCAAAAGTGCTGATTTGGGGTTTGATTTGATAAAAAACTAAATACTGCCGTGATGAAACGCCATATTAGATTATCAAGGATTATTTCTGAAACAGTATGGAGCTCAAAGGCTTTCTCTCTTGCCAGTTATACCACAAGGTGAGTTCCTTTTTATTTCCTGCTTCTTCACACACATGCTCTCCAGTACAGGTTAGCTCTGAGTGTTAGCGATGCTAATGTAAACACCGACCATATTACGTCCAAAACAGTCGGGCATTGTTTCTGATAGCAACGTTTCTGATAGGGCCGTGGGTCCACATTTCAGATATTACGTCATATCGGACGCAAATCTGGATCAGCTCCGTTGTAGCCCCGTTTTTAGAGATTTGGGTACGGAGGAAAAGAGAGCGGGTTTTATTTTCTGACGCTGCGTGAGTTCCCCGACACACCGGGGACACATATTTATGTATAAAAGACATCAAAAAGTGTATTTTGCATGATAGGTCCCCTTTAAATGCTTTTTGTAAAGAACTTTGATATGCCTTTTGTTGACATGTGCTGCATTATAAACTGGCCTTGCATTGATATCTCTTCACTGGATAGTAAAACCAACAATAATGTTGACAAGTTGTATTAAAAACTAAGACAACTCAAAAAGTCGGTAAAAATATTGAACCTTTGAGATATGATTTAGTTAAAAAATGTCCATTGTTGATTTTCGTTCCTTAGACTGTTAGAAAAACCGTCTGAAACAGAATTAAGGTCATCATAAGACACTGAGACAAATGATGACTAACATGTTTACACATACTTTGTCAAGATGAACACTTCTCACAGCTAGCAAGGATTAAGTGACGAAATAAAACCTAACCTCATTGTTTTTCTCTAATAAGGTCTGAGTTCTACAAGCACATCGTCCTGTCCGGAGGCTCCACCATGTACCCCGGCCTGCCGTCCCGCCTGGAGCGCGAGATGAAGCAGCTGTACCTGGAGAGAGTGCTGAAGGGAGACGTGGACAAGCTATCTGTGAGTACAAGCGTCTGAAAACATCAGTTTGAACTTCATTGAGTTTCAAAAGAACATTATGGAAAATGTCCCCGTGTAACCGATCCTTCTCTGCTAAAGATGTCACTCCTTTGTAAAATGCTTTTATTTATTTGTATTTACTTTACTATTATTAATTAATTTTGTATAATTTATTTATTTTAATTTATTTTATTTTAATTTTTTAACTATTTTGTATTTTATTTTTTACTTTATTTTATTTCATATTCTGTTTTACCATATTATTATTTGTCATTTGAATGTATATGTCCTGTCAGGATATGTCTTGATTTAAAACATGAGGCATCGAGGGAAGACACCACTTGTCCCTTTTAAAAAAAGATGACTTTTACTAAAATATGTCTAAAAATGTCCAAAACCGATCTCTGTTAGTTAGGTTTGTTGCCTCTGAATGTACTCTTAGTTATGTCAAAGGGTATTTTTATATGTCAAATTGTGATGATGTTTTCTTAAGATGAAGAGCCTCATGATGATGTCTGGTGAATATTTTCCAGTCACTGCAGTATCAGACTTTTATAATAAAGGCCTAGACTTCATTACTAATAATAACCGGCTACTGGAAATGTATCGTAGTTGGAGTACATTAATTTGCAGACTTCAGTTAAAATGATATAACGGGATAAAATGAAGCTTAATGTCAGAGCCACAATCAGGGTTTTTTGCCAAGTAGGTTTACACATACAAGGAATTTGCTTTGGTGATTAATGGTGCATATAAAAACACAATTAGAGGAGATAAGGTGTAAAATAAACATGTTATTAAATGTAAAAAATAAGAGTTTACAAGCAATATAAATATATACACGAAGTAAGTCCAATACGAATTTGACACAGGACTCTGAAAAACAAAAAATGTGCAGTGTAATTTAAAAGTGGGAAAAGCCACACACACACACACACACACACACACACACACACACACACACACACACACACACACACACACAGACACACAGACACACACACACCCAGACACAGAGAGGGTGTTCGCTGTTGGGTGCCAGCACTCCGTCAGCGCTCTGTTGACACCCTACTTTCCGCTTTGTCTCCGCAGAAATTCAAGATCCGGATAGAGGACCCCCCCCCGGCGTAAACACATGGTGTTCCTGGGCGGCGCCGTGCTGGCCGACATCATGAAGGACAAGGACAACTTCTGGATGACCAGGGAGGAGTATCAGGAGAAAGGGACGCGCGTGCTGGAGAAGCTCGGAGTCACCGTCAGATAAAACACAAAACAAACAGAAACACTTCCCCTCCCTCCATCTACACCTCTCAGCTGATATCCACGCATCGCTCACCTCGGGGTGTCGTCGATTCACGCTCATTTTTATAAAGCAAGGAGGGAGGAAGAGGATGAAGGATACGGGGTAAGAAGTCTCATGGTGAAGGAGGTGTTAACAGAGCTCTTGAATATATGCCCTCCAAAAAAAAGAAATACTGACAAATGTGTTTGAAGATGCACAAGATGGCGCCATTTAGTCCTCCATTTAGTTCCAGAGTTTAGGTAACATTTGCTTCCTTGGCAAACCTTTCATCATGGCTGCACCATTTCAATATTGTCTGGTTTTGCAATTGCGACATGATTCCCGATATTAAAGGGATCATCTTTCTGTAAAATACTGGATATTGGATTTGACTTCTTTGTACAAGAGTTTATTCAGAACATTTCATAATGTTGCACTTCGGCTTGTATTCAATTTAATACATGTACATGCAGCCTATACTCTCATATCTTTCATTTCAACATGAAACTGATGCTAGAACGCTGTTAGCTTAGCTTAGCATAAAGACTGGAAGCAGTCTTTTATAAAGTAACAAAACCTGGCAACCAGCACAGGGCACACGCTTTAGTTGTCACTGAAGGCAAGGATGGGTTTTGTAAACATTTTAACAAAAAACTTTAAAAAGGCCATTCACCATGAATAGACAAGAAAAGAGAGGAATTGAAAATACTGATATGAGGCACCTCCAGTATTTAGTTAACCTAATTCAAGTAGTTCAAAAGAGATATAAGGACATGCTAATCAATGAGCTTTAGAGGTGCTTGTAGATGGGTTTTGTGTCCTATGCTAAGCTAACTAGCTGCTGTCTAAGCTTTATTCTGAACTGACATGAAAGTCTTGCCAAGTAAGCAAATAAGCGCTTTTTCAAATATGTCAAACAAAAACAAAAAACGGTTATTACGGCATTAAGATGCAGGCTGTTCACTTTGATGAAGTGGGGGATATTCTCATTTTTCTTTTTATAGCAGCTTATGTGCGAGTATTTTTGTTTCTAGTGCCTTTCACAGGAGGCCAGAAAAAGCTCCTGGCTGTTTTCAAGTTGAAGGCGACGATGATTATTGTTATTATTACGAGTGATGTGTTTCCTTTCCAAAACGAGACCCCCCGCCTTGCTAAAAATGTGCTGCCTAATCTGTCAAAACAGATGTCGGCTTAAAAAATAATGCTCACAGTGTGGAGCATTACAGAGATTAGATATAAGAACAAATAGACCATTACATGCCGAGTGTTTTTACACACTGATTATTAAATAACACCCCCACCCCCCCCTCTCATTTCCTGTTTGGCAGTGAGTCACTGTAAGGTGCAGTTTCACTCAGCACCTCGCTTGTCTCGATTGCTTGCTTCTTGAGCGCGGGAGTCCATGTGTTTCTCAAGATTGAACTATGAAGATTTGAAAGGAATAGTTGGGAAACATCTTAAGAAAGCTGGATGTTTCTCAGTCTTCTAGTTTTCTTTCCTTCTTCCTGAATCACGTGTGTTGAAAAGGATGGTGATTTAAAAGAGTGTAGGATTTGGAAACAGTCCAGTTGAAGCTCTTAATGGGTTGGATGTGTCTCTGTTTACCAACAAATCAACCTTTCTAGATCACAGAGGATTTGTATGAGAAGGGTTTTCATTCGTTGTCGATAACAAAGCCTCAAGTCATTCTTTAGTCTTCATGCAGGACGGTTAATCTACATAATTTCTCTTAACAATAACGCACCATGCTTTCAAAACCACTGAGGCTCTATTCCCTTTTTCTTTTTTTTTTAACATGCATTTCTTTTCTCTTGATGTTCTTTATCATTGCTGTGCTTTTTGTCTCTGAGGACACCAGGGTTTCTCTGACAGACTGTCATACGTCTGACTGTTGACCGGTTTCATTCCCCATGTTCACTGTGGTCACATTGAAGCTTTCTGCCCTCAACAGCTGAACACAGCTCAGCCATCTCTATCGGACTATCATTTTAAACATGAACAAACTGATTGGCTGGTTCTGGGTCAGATGTTGAGGGGGAATAAATAAAATATATTGTGAATTAAGAAGGAAATGTCCAACAGGAAGTAATTCCCTGTCTTGGTCTTGAAGGAGGAAAGGAGGTGTGGCCTATTGAATCGTACAGAGCTAATTGAGGATGTTGGCATCATAGAAATGAACAATCTCATTGGTTGAAAACAGATCTGGTGTTGAAGTAAAAATAAAAAGTGACAGGATGGCTAATACTCTTAACTTAAGCGCCCTGCCATGTTATATTACCTTCGTGCAAACCTCTTAACCATCTTACAGTATGAATTACATTTACATCATAATTTCACTAGTTATCTAAGTAGTTGCTGTAGAGAAACATATGGTTTGTTCTGGATGCCAAAGCTTCAAGGTTTTCTTCGGACAGAAATCATCAAATAACTAAAAAAACAATTGTAATAACCCTTATTTTGACAGGTTTTCAAAACAAAATGACTATCACATGGTTCATTTGGGATTAATTCACTTCCCAACAATCATAAAAGATAATATGACTACCATTTTATGATAGGTTGGAGAGGACAAACATTTCTTGTTCCCCAAATATCTTTTACAATAATGAACATTTTATTGAGATAAAAGATTATATTACAGCTTGCTGAAAAATCATCTCGTTCGATTGTGGTACTACATTACCCAGAAGCCTCAGCGTAGTTGCAATTGGACCCGATAATGTTCAACCAATGAGATCATTGTAGTGTTTGTGCATCTCAATCACTGAACCTGCACTATTTAGAAAACTTAAGAGTAAAATCAGTCTCTCTTTTTGATTTTGCATTCCTCTGATTAAACCTTAGTTTTCTTTTCGATCGTGACCACACCTCCCCCTCCTTCTCGACTGAACTGAAGATTAATTTGTGGGTTTGGGGTTACAGGCGAAGGTGATTTTTGTGGGTTATTGATATATTATTTTGTAATATTAATAAGAATCTGGTGTCAGGCAAAAGGGAAAACCACGTAAAAGCTGGTATTTGTGGTTTTCCTTCTCGGTTCTTATGTGTATATTGGAGGCACTTGCATATATAAATATCAATGTATAATTTTCCTCTTGTCGAACACGGTCATCGAGTGCCAACTACAGTTATTCTTGTCGGATATTATTTTTGGTCGTCCTTTTTATGTTTTGTTTATAACATAACTGCCAACCGCTGATTTAAATAAAGCAAAGTGATTTATAGACGCCTGGTGTTGCTGTGTTTTTAATTCTGTTGTCTTATATTAGCAATGACACCTTCCTCAGCAAGATGAAGAAGAAGCTATTTTAGTCCTTTTTAGATAAAGATTCTGGTGATATTCTATAGTTTTCTTATTGGAGACAAACACACATCTACTTCCTTTGTGCCACAGAGCTCTGTTATTGTCACAAACATATTAAAAACACTCAAATGAGCCTCACTGTTAAAGTTAGGGTAGGTAAGAACGGAGAAACCAGCTCGAGTGCGCTCGAATTTGAAAGTACACAACCGACAAAAATCTGCCCCTTCCTTCAGACTTCCTTACAGAGCCCCTCCTCCAACACACACGACCGTGCACATGACCAATGAGGGCACGAGATAAGTTTGTGCACAGATGGAAGGCTGACAGGCAGGTAGGCCATCCAGTTATTTTAGCCGGGCCGGCTCAGATGATTGGTCGTGCTTTTTACAGTACTACAGCTTCCACAGATGATATGTTTTATGTATTTATTGTCAAAGCATTTAATATATTCATTGCTATCGGGATGTTAAGAGCATTCCATGGAATATAACAAAAAGTGTTTCTGAAGTGAATTACCTACCCCACCTTTAAACTGACACACACACACACACACACACACTATCCTGCTGCCACAAATACTCACTAGAGCACCAAATGTGGATCAATCCGCTGCTGAAAGTAGTCCCAAAGAAATCCACTGTTTTCCAATGAATTTGGAGCTGAGAGCCACAGACAGGAAGTCAGACGGTATTAAGAGACATTTGCTCTTCCGTTTTAATTTTTCGGTTTGTTTCTTTGTTTCCTACTTGTTTCCTCCTTTGAGGGACAGTTGTGATGGTATGTCACTTTTAAAGGGATTTACTGACATAATCTTTGGAATTAAGGTGGAATTTATACACTGTAGCGCAACTCATTTTAGTTACATTTATTTTTCCACGACTGTCGATCTGTAACAGACACACATTGTCTTCCATAGACTAACACACACACACACACACACACACACACACGTACAGTGTCAAACTAAAGAAAAAATGAAGCAGCAATCAAGCTTGGTTGTAGAGTTGAAGATGCACTCGTAAAACAACCTAATCACCATGTGTGTGTGCATGTATGTGGGTGTATGTATGTGTGTGTGTGTAGGGTCTGGGCCTGATTTACAGAGGCCCCAGTGAGTCTGCCTGCCTCGCTTTGTTTACGCGGATGAAATCTGAAACAAATGTGACTGTGCAGACCACCAACCCTCCTATCCTGGGTGTGTGTGTGTCTGACATTTAAAATATCTTCTAGAAGCTAATCTCTTTGAAGTGGATTGAAGAGCACTTTCTGCTTATTCTAATTGATAACCAAAAGTCTTAAATCTCACATTTAAAATCATCTGTCATGGTTTTGATAAAAATGCTTATTACCTTTTTTTTTTCAAGTAAGCTTTGTGGAGCTTTCAATGATATCATATGATCTTCATCTGATCATTTGGACCACTAGAGATCCCAGCATTACAATAAACGCTAATATGGTTCGTAGTTGAGTAGCCTAGTCTGCTCTGATTGGTTAGCTGGCCCGTATATAATTAAGTATTTACGTATGATATGGAAAATGTACTTATCATATTAGTATTTAGTGTCTCTACTGGGACATGTCTCCATGCTTTAATGTTCAAAAAGCTCTTTATTTTTCTCACACTGCCTGTGCTGCAGCACCTCTTTTCACCCTCTGTCTGAAACCAGAGCCCAGTCTGCTCTGATAGGCTAAGGGACATCTCTAACCAATCACGTACAATGTGTTGGAGCGCTAGCCAATAGAAGCGTGGGTGTTAAATAGTGATGTCACTATGTTACGGAAGTTAACAAAGAAGTCCAATGGAGACGTTTCTGGAAGATTAGCTATGGTTTTAATTGAGACTCGTTTCACCCTGTGTTGAGACTTGTGAAGTGTTTCAATGTGTGTGTGTTTCTTCATTATATTTCTCTATTTCTGAAAAGTATAGTAACATTCTTATTCTGATAATCCCCATATTTAGAAATGCAACAATAATCTGATGACGTCCCGTAGTTTGACAAACCCACAGAGCTGTTGTCAACGCACACACGCACGCACACACACACACACACACACACACACACACACACACACACACACACACACACACACACACACACACACACACACACACACACACACACACACACACAGAAAGAGAGGCCACTGCATTCGTTTCCAGATGATGTTTTTTATACACGTCTCATCGTCTCTTTTTCTGTTAGAAGAGATTTACATCCGTCATATTAGAAACAATAAAAAAATAGAACTGAAAATGTACATCATACACTTGATACATATACATATATTATATATATATATATATTCTGTTTTTTACATAGGTAAAAATGTGAATTATATAAAAAAAGACAAACCAATGAATACAACCTTATACATCAGGACGTAAATCAAGAGGAGGCTTCAGGCACTTTCCTTTAATACACACGCTGACGGTTCCTTTTCCTCGACACAGAAAGAAAAATAAATGTGGTATTATGAAGCTTGATCGACAGACAGACAGACAGCTTTAAAACAGAGGCCTTCACTCCTGATTGCTCTTCGCTTCAGACTTGTGGTGCATTAAACTAGCGTACTGATGTATATATTAGTTTCCCACCAAGTCTTCATGTTTTATGATTTACTGCCAACCTCGTCCATTAGTAATTATTTAATTAACGTCATACCACTCAGGTAGCCACTGGTTTGAACCTTCAATTACTATGAAAAGGTATATTTCAAAAATGAAAGACTTGTAACTTGCAGGAGAAAGAAAACTGTTAACTTGTCTACACGTTCAGAAGATAACAAGTTGGCTTTCATGTGATTGAAAAAGACACACGTTAGACATTCAAAGAAAGAATAAGGAAAAGCACCTGCTCCCTCCTTCATGACGTCACATGGGCACTTTCTCAATGTTGTTCTTCTTCTGTTAAGCTTTTGTCTCCTTTGAGTCCGTCCATACAGAACTGCTCCAGCTTATTCATTAGTTTTAGCTTAAGAAGTATCACAACCCTGTTGCCTCTCGCTGACACTGATGAAAATGCGTCTGTGAAATGAGCAAACAGTCTTTACATTTGAGGTTTAAGATCAATTCCTATAACATGAGAGATACTCGATAAACTGATGGTGGAATGAAACACAGAGCTTTAAAAAAACTATATAAAGATTGTTTCTATGCTCACAGGAAATTAAGTAGCACCACATAATGAGCTCTCAGTCCTGAAACTATCAAAACCTCTTCTTGAAAATTTAATTATTGCTGAAATATTTTGTAATGGTTCCTTCCTTTGCCTATTTTTTAAATATGGAAATACAGTATGTTGTTGGAGCAGCAGTAATTTATGTTTACTACATTGAAACACTTTGTTAGTTAAGTCTTTTCATTGACTTATAATTAAAAAATATAAATTGTTTGTGTTTAAGAAGCGAAATGTGGGGAAAATGTCTTTGAGTTTAATTGTAACAGTAAGACTGATTATTACTATATTCTGGCCTTTCTGTGGAAATGTATACAATCAATGAAAATAAAAAGATCATTTTGATACCCAGCCACACTAACACACTAAGCTTAAAACCTAAAGCCTTGTTCTGTTACAGCTTTAACATTAAAGACAGACCAGTATGACCAGTACAGCAGGAAATTATTTGTTAAGGTCTAACTGGGCAACTTGTGTTTTGTTTGTAACTTCAAACAGAACAAATGTACTTTTTCAGACTTAAAGGTCCCCTATTATACTGTTTTTCATCAATATATTATAGGTCTCAGATATATACAAACATGTCTCTGATTGGCTGAAACACCAAACAGATCATTGCAGCTTCCCATAATCCCCTCTGTTTCAGCCCTGTTTCAAAAGTGCTGATTCTGTGTCTGATACTTTAGATGAAAAATAAGGAGCCCCTCCCCACGCCCCTCTGAGAGATATTTGGTTAAAAAGAACACAATGGTGCTCTAGGAGGAGATTCAGGTGATAAGGTGGGGGGGGGGGGGGGTTACCTTGGTTGGTGATTGGCTAATGGTTACACAAGCCAAAACATCGTTATGACATCATTAAGTTGCCAACATCTGATCAGCTCATTTTCAGACAGGTTTTTATATAAATGATCAGGACAAAAAGAGAGAGAATCTTTTTTCCTGAAACTTTCAGAGTCTCTTTACACAGAGGGGACACATGTTGATGTAGAAGAGACATGGAGAAGAGGGGACACATGGTGATGTAGAAGAGACATGAAGAAGAGGGGACACATGTTGATGTAGAAGAGACATGAAGAAGAGGGGACACATGTTGATGTAGAAGAGACATGAAGAAGAGGGGACACATGTTGATGTAGAAGAGACATGAAGAAGAGGGGACACATGTTGATGTAGAAGAGACATGAAGAAGAGGGGACACATGTTGATGTAGAAGAGACATGAAGAAGAGGGGACACATGTTGATGTAGAAGAGACATGAAGAAGAGGGGACACATGTTGATGTAGAAGAGACATGAAGAAGAGGGGACACATGTTGATGTAGAAGAGACATGAAGAAGAGGGGACACATGTTGATGTAGAAGAGACATGGAGAAGTGGATTTTGCATAATAGGTGACCTTTAAATACAACGTTATCTTAAAGCGAATTGTCATATACAGTATTTCTGAATTATTCGAGACTGGGAATCTCCATCTCACTGGTCGGCCAAACTGGTTTATCTGTTAACTTTAGAGGGAGGTGAGCAGAGCAGGTTTCAGGTAAATAAAACATCCATCTTTACAGGAGAAGCTGCTGTAACAAAAATACAAGTAAGCTCACAACAAATTGAAAATAAATAAGATGTTGGAGAGAGAAACATTAGCTTTCCCGCCGAGAATTCGATGAGAGGATTGAAACTAATGTCATGTTGGTGCGTTTAAGCAGGCTGGAGTCAGGATTCAGTTAGCCTAGCTTAGCATAAAGACTGGAAGCAGCCTGGCTGTTGCTTCTACATTTCTGTTTGTGTACAGATTTAACTAGATATAACATGTTCACCTGTAGCTTTAGTGGAATATGTTATTTTTGACTTTTGAAAGAGGCAAGCTAGCATTTTCCCTCTGAATTAAGAATTCATGCTAAGCTAGGCTAACATCCAGCTCCATATTTAACAGAGATACATGAAACTCTACCTTCTTATGCAGCTTGAATTAAGACCTGTTTAATGTTTCTGTTTGTGTAGAGATTAACCTACATATAACATGTTTCTTGTAGCTTTAGTGGTAGATGATAGATTTTTAACTTTTGACAGAGGCAGGCTAGCTTTTCCCCTCTGCTTCAAGACCGTATGCTAAGCTATGCTAACGTCCAGCTCCATATTTAACACACATACATGAAACTAATTGTCATGTTCTTGTCTAACTTGAATAAACACCTGTTAAACTAATCCTAGATCTGTCCATGTTTTATTGTAAATGATTTGTCAGCACCCTAAATTGTTTGAAGGTTTTGCTGCAGTCCTTTCAACAAACACAATAACATTCATACTGACCTCACACCACGCTGAAGAAATGACATATTCAAGCCTTGAAAACACATGAGTGTAAAAATATAAAGTACCTGTCATAAATATATATCTATATAAAGATATATATTTATGTTTATATTTATAACTTTATATAGAAATTAATATTCTCTGTTCAGTCTTTCTTTCCTTTTTCATCTGTTGAGATAAAAGTTCTTCTGCTCCTGGAAATTGGAGACGAGACAAACGACAAACACAAAATCACAGCGGCCTCCATTTCCCATGAGTCTTTGCTGCTGTCCCTGTGCACTGAAAAAACCTTTAAAGTTGACTTTAATTAAATGTATTATAACGACAGATTTCAGATAACTGTATTAGGTTAGTTGAAAGCAAATATATTAAGTTGAACCTAATATATTTGATTGAAACTTAATATTATTGCTTTCAACTAACCTAATACAGTTATGTTACATTTGTTGACATAATACATTTAATTAAAGTCAAGGTGTCAGTTTTTCAGTGTTACTTGAGCCTACGACGCCTTCCCATTACTCGATCTGTACTGAAAACAAGATTTTTCTGCGCATGTGCAAATATACCGCTACTTCCCATGATGCTAACTCAATAATGTCAAAGCGATTTACAACATTTTTCTGGGATTTTAGATAAAATAACATTATCTTTGATTTGATTGGTTACAAAATAGAAGACTTAACTGTGTCCTTATTTAAATAATCTCTTGTTTTGGTAAAGAATGTCTAGAATAATTAAGTCCTTCATTAACAAAGAAAAGTGTTGGAAGAAGTACTCTGAGCCTTAAAGTATAAATACAATATATGGCCCTAAAATACTCTTCTGCAAGTTAACGTCCTGCTTTCAAATTTGTACTTAAAAGTGCATCAATTGTAATTAAAGTACAAAAGTAAAAGTCATCGTTAGCACAATTTTGAGCTAAATGTACTCCAAGCATCAAAAGTAAAAGTGCTATTTATGCAGAATGGATATTTTCACAGTATTATATTATGGTAATTATATGATCCTGTTTTTATACATGTAAGAACATTTTAGTATGACAACATGGACCACATTTAGATACTACAAATACTGTGTAGATTACTAGTACAGAATTGTATGTTTTGGACGTTGTTATTGACACTAACGGTTTTTAAAAACCTCTGTAATTTTTCCACAACGCCGTAAATCTAAGCAAATGTTTAGAACAAATCTGGTTTACGGTACAGATCGGGTAGTAGTGTGTTTGCCAGCAGTGTGAACCAGGAAATGTAAAGTACCCCAGAGTTTTATGTTAGAAATGTTTAGTACTGGCTCCCAGCTCAAAGAAAAGGCCAGATCCTAACTTGCATAAGTTGGGCAATTTGTACAATTGTCATAAGTTGCAATAACTGACATTTTTATGATCGAAAAGTCAGTTTTCAGTCCCCTTGAATCTTCAAATCAACCCAAAATGTATCAAAATCAGCCCACAGGGAGTACAAATGCGGCCACTTTCTGGTTAAAATGGCCATTTATGATCCTGAAAATGTCATAAATAGATTCATTCAACATCCTCAATAACCCAGAAAACTACTCCAAAATTGTCCAAATCTGCAAAGCCATGTTCAACCTATTTGTCTGAATAGCCTTATTAATGCAACTTATGCTAATTGTGCAAGCCTTATTAATGCAACTTCTGCAAATTGCCCAACATATGCAAGTTAGCATCGGGCAATTTCTATGTGCTGGAGACCCATACTATACATTTCTGACATAAAACTTTGCGGTACTCAACAATTCGGGCATCACAATAGGACTCTATGAGCTGGCAAATGGACTAAAGTTAATTAAAAGATGCCTCAACCTATTGTCTGATTAGCCTTATTAATGCAATTTATGCAAATTGCCCAACATATGCAAGTTAGCATTCGGCAGTTTCTATGTGCTGGGGACCCATAGTATACATTTCTATCATAGAACTTTGGGGAACTCAACATTTCCGGTTCACAATAGATCTCTATGAGCTGGCAATTAAACTAAAGTGACACGCCCTCAACCCACAGTGTTGTGTTGCCCAACATATGCAAGTTAGCATCCGGCAGTTTCTTTGTGCTGCGGACCCATACTATACATTTCCATCATAAAACTTTGGGGTACTCAACATGTCCAGGTTCACAACAGTACTCTATGAGCTGGCAAATGGACTAAAGTTAACTAGAAGACGCCTCAACCCACAGCTTTGTGTTTCCCACCGCAGCACCGGCACGCCACCCCGCAGCGGTAGCACGCTCTGAGCGGGGCGTAGCAGCACATGCAGGGTGCCAGCAGCGACAAACCCACCAGCGCCGTCCATCGCAAACAGAATCTCTCATCGTTTGTGTCGCACGAACACGGGTCGGAGAAATCCCCCTCCGTGTCCGACATGCAGTGGTAGAGCAGGCTGTCGGCGCACCACATGAAGCTGACCCTCCGGATGCACGTCTGGATGGGGTCCGGTGCTTCCTGGCAGCGACCTCGTCCATTATCCTCGTGGTTAAACATGTCCTGACAGTAAACGCACCGCGAACGCTCTCCGTCCTCCTTCCTCCGCTTGCCTTTGGGCTGCAAGGAAAGGCAATGCAAGTTTATTTATATAGCACCACAAGGCAATTCAAAGTGCTTTACAAAAATGAAAGACATTAAAGGTCACCTATTATGCTAAATCCATCATGTCTTTTATACATCAACATGTGTCCCCTCTGTGTAAAGAGATTCTGAAAGTTTCAGGAAAGAAGATTCGCTCACTTTTTGTCTTGATCCACACATATTTGTGTAGCATATACAATTAATTGCTCCCAGACATTCATGTGGCTTGCTAGTTTTGCCATCTGTAACCTCTATAGAGCGGTGCAGTGATGAGTCCTAAAACCCGGAAGTGAGTTAGCATTTCACCACTTCCGGTTCCCTCGTCTCAGAGTCAACGAGAATTCTCCATAGGATTTTGGAAAATAGCTGGAAATAAGGTCTGTGGTTGAGACAAATTTAAGAGACGGATAACGTTTGTTTCTCCAACATTAAATACATCAGCAGTGACCCCACTGGGGATTTCTGAAGAGTTAACGTGTCTGAAAAACGATGGTTGTTAACAAGTGGCTGAATAGGACTACAGAAGTTGTGGAGGACGTTGTACGTCATTACACCGAACACGTAAACACTCCTCTAAGTTTGTTTGCCCTGTTCTGCTTGAAAGCAAGTACCTGCCTCCTGCAAACTGTTAAATCAAACGCTTCAACTTGTAACATTTAGAATCTGTATGTTTGAATATGGATCTTAAGTTGCCGTGACGTTGAAGTCGTGCGACCCTGCTGTACTCGGCTGTAGTTCGTTTATAGCATAACGTTAGCATTTTGCATCTGGCGATTAGATTTATGATTCGAACATTTTAAAAGTAGGGTAGACATGTGGAGATTATCCGGCTGAACAAAACGTGCATTTATCAAACAGGCTTGTTTTCCACAGACCTTATTTTTTACAATATTCCCAAATCCTATGGAGAAATCCCATTGCTTTTTCGTCGAGGGAACCCTTGCGCAGCTTACTTCCAGGTCGGCCTACAACAATACATCATCACTGCACTGCTCAATGCACGTAGGGGGATATAACCACCTGCAGGGCTCTCGGCTGCAGCGTCACCACCGCCCTTCGACCCCCGATCGACTCCATGCAGTTAGATTTGCCGGTGCATCCCCTCGTCACGTTGCAGCTCAGCGGGTACGGGTAGGTATAGTCGTGTTTGGGCGCCTCGCTCTTGGCGAAATGTACGTAGGCGTCGAGGTTTTCTGGCTGTGAGATTTTGGCCCGCGTGGAGTTGGCGTGGCGGTAATCCTCGTAGCCGGTGGTGAGCCACGTTCTCTCGCGGGGGTTGATGCGTACGATCTCTTCCTCCTCCACGTGGAAGCTGACGTGACGAGGGAACATGTGCACTGCCTAAAGAGACACAGAGGAGGGGTTTAAAACGTTATCCTCCAGAGATGCATGAGGTCAGCAGACACAGAAACACAGCTGCTAACGGAGGTCCGCTGTTACTGACTCTTTATGGTAAGTTGTCCTCAATGTGTTCCACAAATACATCTCAACATACTGTATGTGCAACATTTTAAATAATGTTTCTGTACAATCTGGATCAAAGGAGTTCATCGTTTTTTGTGATTGTTTCAGGGGTCTCAAACTCAATTTAATCGCGGGCCACATCAGCAGGTTGTAACTTTAAGACTTTATAAATATCTAAATATATAATATATATAAAATAATGTATTATATTACATAATTGCCAATAATTGCAAGTCTCTTCAGTGCGCATGTCACAAAATGAGATGCATTGTGGGACATGTAGTTTATGGACAACGTGCTTCTGTAAAGCGGAACGTAACCGTATAATAAACATATAATATTTTTTGCAAGCTCTTGTGGGCCACATGAAATGAAGTCACCTTGAGTTTGACACCCCTGTGTTAAATCCTAGATGTTATCCTCCAGAGATACATGAGGTCAGCAGACACAGAAACACAGCTGCTAACGGAGGTCCGATGTTACTGACTCTTCGTGGTAGGTTGTCCTCAATGTGTTCTACAAATACATCTCAACATACTGTATGTGCAACATTTTAAATAATGGTTCTGTACAATCTGGATCAAAGGTTTTTTTGTCATTGTTTCACCTTAGCTGAACTCCTTCCTTTAGTGTAAGCACATTAACATTTGTGCACTGATCACTCAGCTTTTTGAAAGTTCCTTCTGTGGATTTTAGTTTCTAAATCATCTTTACATATCAAAACAGGTATTACTTGGGGTATTGCTCAGTTCAGGGTGCTGCTATTGTGCAAAAAAAATTGAACTTTTTAGGGTTAATTAAGATACATTTTATTAAATAAACCTATCTGTGATTCTATGTCAATATGGTCAAAGAAAAAGTATTTTCGATCTTGGGTTATTCAAACCCTAGCTAACCTGATCCAGGAAGTAGTGATCCGAGGGCCTGTGGTGCTCGTAGAAATGTCCCAGAATGCAATGGTGTCGACGCGCCTCGCAGAAGTTGTGCGGGGCGAGCGAGTGCATGGCCGGCTCTCTCTCTCTCTTCTGGGACGAGTTGGACGAGCTGTCGGTGGCCGTCTGCAGGACAGAGAGGACACCAGTGACTACAGGCCAACATGAGGACTTTACACACTGTGTGCAACATTTTAAAACTATGATGAGGACATCTTGAAGTAAAAATCTTCCTATTTTCTTTTCAGCTTAATTCCTCTCTGAAAGCACCTGAGCTCCACACCACCAGACTTTTGCAATTAGGCAAAAGACCTCCAGAACCGAAGCAGTGTGTCAGAACACGTCTTGGGTCTGTGTTAAATGAGTCCCAGTCCGGTGTTTTGCTCAGCATCGTGTGTGGAGTCATCTTCAGGGTTGATCAGAGCTGAAGCTTGCATGTGGCTCACTGAGATCACACAAGAAGACTTCCTTCAAACACCAGAAAAAACTGCCTAACTTCACAGCAAAAATAAATGAACTGCTTTCTCACATTTCTCAGTTGTGAGTGGAAAGACTTCTCCAACAAACACATTCCCGCAGTTCCTCCACATCTCCTCCGTTATTTATGGACCTCCAGAGGAAAGTGTGGAGGAAATTCTTAAGAAAAACTGATTAATGATTCATGGAAAAGTTTGTCTTTTGTTTTATTTAATAAAGTAATAAAGAAAGTCAATATGCAAGTGAAATCTATCTCAAATGCAGGAGCAGAGCAACTTCATCCTCAGAGGATAGAGAAGTTCTGCACCCTGAACACAGCTTACAGTCACACTATAAACTCATGAAAGGAAACATCCCACCATTAAACCATAAAACCTCCAGTCCTTAACATTTGCATATCCCCCTTTTACACTTCCTTTTGCCCTTCTGAAATATAAATCCTTAAATGTGGGGTAGGTCATTTTGGAGAAACCGGCTCGAGTGCGCTAGAATTTGAAAATACACAGCCGGAACAAATCTGCCACTTCCTTATAGAGCCCCTCCTCCAACACACACGAACGCGCACATGACCAATGAGGGCACGAGATAAGTTTGTGCACAGATGGAAGGCTGACAGGCAGGTAGGCCATCCAGTTATTTTAGCCGGGCCGGCTCAGATGATTGGTCGTGCTTTTTACAGTACTACGGCTTCCACAGATGACATTTTTGTATGGATTTGTTGTCAAAGCACTTAAGATATTCATTGCTATCGGGATGTTAAGAGCATTCCATGGAATATAACAAAAAGTGTATCTCGAGCCGGTTTCTCAAACTTACCTACCCCACCTTTAACATATGTCTCTGTTAAACACATACAAGACTACAAATACAATTTAACAGTGTAAAAGGCAATCAGAGTATAAGACGATATGTTTTAAATGATTATATGATAATTTGACACGACAGAAAGCACGTCCTCATGACAGGGAGGGTTTTTATTGACTCCTGACGAAGGTTGATCTACATCCTCAGGCGTCTCTTCCTCCTCTTCCTCCTCTTCCTCCTCTTCGTCCTCTTCAGGGAGCCAGACGGGCCGACAGGACGGAGAGGAATGATCTGCAGCCACGTTCCCCTCACTCAGCTTTAAACGAAGCCAGCTAAGTAAACAAGAGCTCGGTGACGGATTAGTGACAGGTGAGACTCTCTTTTCCAGCGCTGGACATCCTGAGGAAACAATACACCCTTTTTTCTTTGAAGCCACTCGGAAGACGGAAAAACTGGACCCTGAAAGAGGAAGCAAGACCTTGACCCCTCATCAGACTGAGGATGGAGGGAAGAAACTTGCGGTACATTTAACTCAGATTACTCCAGTATAACCAGTGTCATTAGTGGCAAAATCTGCATCTCTTGTTAAAATCGAAACCCCAAATGAGGAACCCAAGTTCAAATCTGACCTGGGAACATTTACGCATGTCATCCCCTTTGTCTCCCATTTTCAAAACTGTCACTCCGAATAATGAGATGTACTTCTTCTTGGACCTCTCTCTGCCTTTCTACTGAATGCAGACACAGGTACATTCTCACATGTACGCTGCACGCCTCACAATATTACAGAAATGGTTGATTGAATACCTCCTGATATCTTATCATAGTTACAAAAAATGGATGTGCATTTTTGTCGTTAGAGAGATTATCTCATGTGTTGAGGAAACTCTTGATAACTGTGTTAGGGAAAGGTCCAAATAGCAGTGTACATGACAGAGGAATGGTTCATTGTTCAATCTATCTGGGATGCACATCAAAAAGCTATGCATGGGAGGAAATGTGGCACAATAAATGAGGAAAACGTAGTCTGTGTCTAAAAGAAAACCCTCCCAACTGAAGTGTGTGTGCTGCTCCTGTGTTGGTGACAAACTCCAAACAGGACGGCGACATGTGTCTCCAGGATACCAAACCCCTGCCGACCATCACACTTCCTGTCCGACACCCCCCCCCCCCCCAAGGCCACAGACACACAGTCTGCTCGTAACGCTGAAAACAAAAGCAGCATCTCCTGTCCAAATCCGATGCCAAAATAACAAAAAAACAGCCCCTCCCTATGTTCTCCTGACACGCTATAGAAACATTGAGAATGAAAATCAGGAACAAGAATCGCTTTACACAGATATCCCTCAATATCGCCAAATAAATGACAAAATCTGGGACATTGATTTCACTCCAGTAGTCACGTTATCCTCAGAGTTCACCGGTTGTTTACCAGCTGGAGGAGGGAGAGTTTCTCACCGTAAAGACGTCGTCATCTCCGAGCTCCGCCTCATTCTGCAACGTCGATGAAGACGTGGTCGACCCTGCAGGAGGCACAGGAGAATCAGTGTGACAGGAAGTGAGACAGCGTTATCTTAATTTGTTCAGTATAACAGAAATATCCAGAAAGTATCAGCCATGTTTGGTTAGCATTAGGGTGCTTTCACATGATATAGTCCAATTGGCTAGTCCAACGCAGGAAGTCATTTTGGTTCGTGTTTTATTTAGTCTGGTTTGGTTTCACAATTTGTTTTTCCTCATTTTGTTTTCCTATAGCTAAAATAACCAAGGTGACATTTCCTCCCATGCATAGCTGTTTTATGTGCATCCCACATACATTTAACAATGAACCATTCCTCTGTCATGTACGATGCTATTGGGACCTTTCCCTAACACAGTTATCCAGAGTTTCTCTTAACACATGATGTGGGGGAAACTTCTGAAGCACTTGGAGTCAGGACTCAGAGAGACACGAGGAGAGCTGGAGCTTTGATGTCAAACACTGATGGGTTTATTTGGAGTTACGGCCGGAGAATTCACAAAACAAGTCAAAGAGTCAGAGGTTCTGACTTCACGGTAGAGTTGCCACGTCAATTCTGAAGAACTCTCCCCAGACCCATGAATTTAGCTAGTTCAGAGAGAATAATCAACATTCTTTATCAGTGAGACTAAACAATTATGGACCCTGAATCTAACTAGAGCTCTCGTCCATAGAAAAGAATGTGCGCCAGGGAACCTACGTCCCTGAACAGTAAACTACCTCATGGCGGCTTGTGCTCTGTCATAGACTGGCAACAACAATGCACCCAAGCTGCTCCTCCTTAAGAGAGATAGCAGCAATACCCAAGGCCGTAGAACTTATGCCATGGGAAAGGAGACGGTGAGAGGAGAAAATGATGAACTTTGTCAAAGGTTGAATACCTAAGCAAATTATTCCCCAACACATGAGATAATCTCTCTAATGGCAACAATGCACATACATTTTTTTAACTATGATAAGATATGAGGAGGTATTCAATCAACCATTTCTGTAATATTGTGAGGAGTGCAGCGTTCATCTGAGTATGGACCTGTGTCTGCATTCAGTAGAAAGGCAGAGAGAGGTCCAAGAAGAAGTATGTCATTATTCGGAGAGCAAAAATACACGCATCCTTTACTCAAGTAGAAGTACAGATACTCGTGTTTAAAATTACTCTGGTAAAAGTAGAAGTACTGACTAAACTTCTTTACTCAAGTAAAAGTAAAGAAGTATGGGCTTTGAAATGTACTTCAGTAAAAAGTACCCATAACTAGCAGCTGTTTTAAAGAGTACCTGACCTCCCTTTATATTAATAGAACAATAATGTCATTGTTAGCTAATGAATGTTTCCATGCTGAACAACGGCAACATGACAACGTTTTCATTGGTCCCTCTTCTTTAGAGAAGACCAGGAAATGATGGATACACGGATCGTGTTCAAATCAATAGGCACGCAATGACTCTAAATAATAATGATCACGCCACCAAACACACATTCAAACTAAAGGAACCAGCCTGTTTGGAAAATGTGAGAAGTAGAAAGTACAGGTATTTGTGTTCAACATGTAAGAAGTAGAAAGTACAGGTATTTGTGTTCAAAATGTAAGAAGTAGAAAGTACAGGTATTTGTGTTAAACATGTAAGAAGTAGAAAGTACAGGTATTTGTGTTAAACATGTAAGAAGTAGAAAGTACAGGTATTTGTGTTCAAAATGTAAGAAGTAGAAGTAAAAAGTCAGAAAAATAAGTACTGTAGTGGAGTAAAGTACTGATACCAGAAAAAGTAGAGTAGTGACTCTTGAAAGGTATCTCAATACTATTTTCTTCTTCTGTATACTTTACTCTAAGTGTGTGATCTGTACCTTCGGTCAGGTCCTCCAGCGCTCTCCTCACCCCGCGGTCGAAAGCTCGGGCGTCCGACGGGCTCTGGAAGGTCAGCCCACACTTCCTGTTGTCCACCCACCAGTGGTGAAACGTGGGCGTGGCCTTCGTGTAGACCAGGTCCTTCTTCAGGAAACACTGCAGAATCACCTGGAGAATAATCACACAAAGAAAATGTCACTTAAAACATAACCCTCAGCAGGCTCCATACATTTCAGCTTTGGCATAGATTCAGAGACTCACAGATATAATTGTTTTCACTGTAGGCTACTGACCAGTCTTTCTTAAAACTAAAACACTTTTAGTGCACCTTAATCCGTGGTTTTAAAGGTTGAAGTAAACTAATGATGTGCAGACAGACTTTCTTCAATTTATCGGTTCCTTTGAGTTAATGCATGTGAAGCAGGGGTGTCAAACTCAATGTCATCGCGGGCCACATTAGCATTATGGTTGCACTCAAAGGGCCGGTTATAACTTTAAATGTGATTTAAAGTTACAAAAAACGGGCTCAGACATTTGTTGGGAGCCCGTTTTGGGGGACGGTGCCCCATAGTACTGGACTAATTGTTGTGAACATATTCATGTAATGTATTGCCTCTGGTGACCTATATATTATTGTTATGTTTTTGTTGTAATGTGTCAACAACTTAAAAATAAAGTATGAAAAAAATTGTGCAAGTAAATACAAATAAAATAGAATAGTAATAGTGCAATGCATGTGCAGCGACCTGCTTGTCTTTGAGGCGTTCTCCGTGGATGAGGAAGGCGTTTCGCCCCAGCAGCTCGCTGGCCAGCAGCCTGCAGACGCCCACTCGGCTCAGGCAGCCATCTTGTGCCAACCAGCCGCCGCTCGACTCGTCTCGGGTCATCACCACCGCTTTGACGCGCACAATGTAGCTGTCACTGCAACACACCAGAGACACAATCAGTTAGCATTAAGGCTGGATCAAATATCAACGTGCGGTTATTGTGACTGACGTTGCAATCGCGATATGAATCATGAATTTTTTCTTTCTTTATTGCAGCTCCATTTGCAACACCAACAAAAACACATTTTTAGAAAGAAACAAGGAAACATTTAACGTAACATTGCAATCATTGAAGACAATATCTTCAAGACTCGTAGGCTAAGAGGCGGTACATCTCTAGACGGTTGACCAATCACAACAGAGCCGGCCAGCTAACCAATCAGAGGAGACTGGGCTCTGGTTTCAGACAGAGGGTGAAAAGAGGTGCTGCAGCACAGGCAGTATGAGAAAAATAAACATTAAAGCATGGAGACATGTCACAGTAGAGACACTACATACTGATATGAACCTGAACATCAGGAGGAGAGGACTCTTTAAAGTAGAGACACTACATACTGATATACACCTGAACATCAGCAGGAGAGGACTCTTTAAAGTAGAGACACTACATACTGATATACACCTGAACATCAGGAGGAGAGGACTCTTTAAAGTAGAGACACTACATACTGATATACACCTGAACATCAGCAGGAGAGGACTCTTTAAAGTAGAGACACTACATACTGATATACACCTGAACATCAGCAGGAGAGGACTCTTTAAAGGAGAGACACTAAATACTGATATACACCTGAACATCAGCAGGAGAGGACTCTTTAAAGTAGAGACAATACATACTGATATACACCTGAACATCAGCAGGAGAGGACTCTTTAAAGTACAGACACTACATACTGATATACACCTGAACATCAGCAGGAGAGGACTCTTTAAAGTAGAGACACT